CCCTAGAGGACAGAGTGGAACTGCCCACAGGGTCTCCAAGGCTGCCATCTTTGTGGATGCAGACTGCCACATCTTTCTCCCCTAGCTGTGGGTTTGAATGCCTACCCTTTGGTTAGCAGCCCAATGCTTTTCCCATAGCGCAGGCTGAAACTTTACCACGTGGTGGGGGCAGGCAAGGAAGGTGTCCGCCAAGGGTAACCAGGCATGGCATGCTAGGATGGGTGGTGGGACGGCGCCCCATGAGGGTGACGGTGACAGCCTTCCCCCTTGGCCTCCTCGGACCATGGGCGGCCCAGGCCGAGGCCCGTCTGACTCCTTGGCGCAATCTCTTCCCTTGGGCTCAGGTTTTCCGATTCTAAACTTCCAATGTGAAACCTCCACCCAGCTGGTAGGAGAGCCAGAAGGCAAACAGCCGCTGCCTTCCTCTCCCTCCCCCCCCGCTCTGTTACCAGAGCGCCAGCTGCCGCTGCTCCCAACAGTATAAGGCCGGCCAAGGCCCCGGGGGCGCGGAGCAGCAGCCCACCTCTGCCGCTGGACAGCGTGAGGCTCCGGGCCACAGGGGGAGCAGTTCCTTCCCGACACATCGCAAGGACACTCCAGACAGCGCACCACTCTCGTGCAATCGTTAGTTTACATCCCTCCGGGACAACCGACAGCTGGAGGCGCGCGCCTCCCCGAGGGCTCCTTCCGTCAGGGCCGCAGTGGGCAGCGGGGCAGCTCCGCCGGGCTCTGGGTTTACAGGCACCATCCGCTCGGAACTGAGGGGTGTCCCCGCTTCCCCCACCGCGGCCTGAGCGCAGGGTGGGCGGGGGCGAGCTGTGTGTGCAGTGCTGTGGTAAGCCCAGGGCAGGGTCCCAGCAGCCCTGGGCAGGCGGGCAGGCAGACGCGACATGGCTCAGGTTGTGAGGGAGGAGTGCCGACGTGCTCATGACGCACTCGCGTGCCTCTAACAGGGCCTGGGCCGCTCGTCTCCTCCAGGTGCCTGACCCTCCCGGGCAGAGGGCATCCCTCTCACAGGCTTCAGGCCCTCAGGGGAGCCCTCCATCCGGAGCCTGAGGTTTCTCTAGGAGTGGAGAAGGGGCTGGGAAGTGGTACGGGGTGGTAACAGGGAGGGGGCGCTTCTGGCCCACCCCACGTGCAGCCGAGATGGTGAGGGGTCAACTGGCCCTGACTGTTTTGCTCCTAAGAGCCTTTCTCCTGTTCTGTACGTCAGAACGTATCACCAAGGTCCAAAGCCCAGCCGGCCCCCCACAGGGCACCTCCCACCGAACCTGGTGGACAAAGATGAGGCGCCAGTGTGACAGCCCCACCCCCACGCAGGACAGAGGTCCGGGGGTCGGGTCCTCCTGGGGGACGGGTCCTCCTGGGGGACGGGTCCTCCGGGGGCAGCCCGCCCGCCCATGTGCACAGAGGCCCGGGGGCTGCACTGCGCGCAGAGCCTGGGTCACGTCTCCTTGTCCTTCCTCTTGCTCTTCCTCTGGCTGCTCAAGGCGTCCAGCTTCGTGTCCAGCCGCCTCTGCAGCTGGGCCCTCCTGGCTGGGTCCAGGGCCCTGTCCTTGGTCCCACTGCCGGCGGTGAGCACGCCCTCCCGGCTGATCCTCTGCCGGGCGTGGGCACGCGCCCGCTCCCCACAGCCATGGACCTGAGGACACGGCGGTCGGTGCGTCAGCATACACGGGAAGGCCAGGAGACAAGACCCTTCCACCCAGCCCAGAGCTCAGACCCGGGAGGCCCACCCAACACAGGTCATCACCCTCCCTGTCCCCTCCCCGAGGACCGTCACCCTCCCTGGGGGGAGCCTGGCCTTTCCCGTGGACCGGT